ACCAAAGTGCTGCCCAGCAGGATGATGAGGGATGCTGCAGAAGCTGGGCTGTGCAGAACCTGCCGCAGGGCTGCTGGTGGGGACAGAGGTGTCAGTGATGATTTTCCTCCCCAGGAGATCCTGAACTCTCAGCCAGACAGACTTTTTCTTACTCTGTGTTTGTGCAATAGCTCTGTGAGCCGAAGTGCTGATGTAAACCAAATCCAGATAGTCGAAGGCTCTGTTGCAATGTTGAAAGGTTTGTTAGTGACTTTGGGAAGTTTAATGAAAGCAGGGCAGGGAGGGAGCTGAAATTATGACACCACCAGAGTCAGGAAGTTTTGCTGTTGGATTTGAAGGGGTGGTGGACCTTCAAAGTTTCACCCATGAGAGAAGAAACCGGGGAGGAAAAAAATTAAAACCCTACTTATTTGACAGGATGTGGTGAAATTTTTGGTAAGAGTGAGAATGCTTGCAGCTGCCTTGCCAGTGCCTTTCCCTAAGCTGGCCCTTCTGGCAGGTCCCATGGAAGAGGTTAGAGGTGTGCTTTGCTGCCTGGGCTCCCAGGTAGCCTGGAGGAGTAAATAAAGGGTGATCCCAATTTTGCACCCCCTAGAATCAATGTCTGCTTTGCTGGTTTGTGAACTCTTTGCAGCAAGAGCCACAGCTGCCCGTTCGTGTCGAAAAGAACCCACAAATCTCTGCATGAAATGGCACGAGCGCACTCACGTGCAAGAGAAAAAGTAAATAAAGCAGACCTAGCTCTGCTTGCTGGGCTGGAACCAGGCCATATTTTCAGTCTGCTTCTGCAGCGTGTTACAGCCTTGGGATTTACAAAACCACATTACATTTAAAACCAGATTTAATCCTTTCCATGTGTTGCGATGCTGTGCGGGGGTTTGGGAGACCTGGTGGGATTCCCAGCCCAGGAAGAGAGAGGCTGCCCAGGCAGTGCAATGCAGAGCTCCATAGGGGTCCACGGCCCATCCTTTCTGTACCATTGGCTGGGACAGCAATGCATCCCAGGACAGCTCAGGCTGCAGCGATGTGAGTACACACTGCCTAAAGCACAGACACTTGCTCTGTATGATCTATGAGATCTGTAACCTTCCAGAGACAGGGACATGCCTGTAAAATGCTGATACCTGGTGCCATGGCACAAAGGAGCATCAGCCTGGGGTGCTGTGGGCACTCCTGGCACACAGTTAACAGGTACCCAGTTTCCCAGGTAAACTGGGGGTTGCAGAGGAGGCTTCTGTCATTGTGACATTGCACATGCCTTCATTTCCCCTCCATACTAAGGTGCCTCACACTCAGACCTTTGGGAAACCCCTACCGTGGGGGTGTTTGCAGGTGTGCTGTGTGGTCCTATTGCTCATTCCTCCTCTCCTGCACACTTTGCTGTCACTCTGCACTGAACTCCTTGCCATGAAACAAGCTGCCATCCATCCTCCCCTCAGTGCACCAGACTTCCTTGGCTTTAGCCCTTCACATTCAGCCTTTCCCACCCCTGATGACCAGTCAGAGTGGCCCAAAGGCTGCCACCATCCTCTAAGGCAGACATGTTCTAAGGTAACCTGCCCTGCCAAATCATTGAGATGTGTCCTGCTGCACTGGGCTGGGTCTGCCCACAATCAAGACTCTCCTTGAGAAACAAGAGGTGATTTGCTTTATGTACATTAAACTCATCTCCATTCCTGTGCTCAGAATTATTGATTAGTCTGACAGCTGTACCCCTGCTGGTTTGCCATTTCATATTTGTGCACAAGAGAAAGGCACATTGATTTTGCTATTATCAAAATCCTCTTGTATTTGCACAGTCTTTTCTCTTCCTGCAATTTTCTAATTCCTTCTGGAAAACATGCTACACATTGTCAAGATCAAATTCCTGAGACATCTTGTTTAAATCAAGGGATTCTTAGCACCTTCTGTTTCTTTTGAATATCCATCTGTGCAGAAATAACAAACCAGAGAGCTACTGGGGCAGGGGGAGGCACCAGCAAGGACCTCAGTCTATGGTCAGACTTGCTGCTATCATACCTTTTCGTGGTGTATTGTGATGAGGTGCTGTGAACAAGTTGCCTAAAGAAGTAGCAAAATACCTCTTGACAAAACATGTTATAGGGCATCCTGACACACTAGACTTTTGAGGTAACAAGATTAGTGTTTCCAACCCACCCACAAAAGTATCAAATCAAACATAATCCCATAAACTTACCTCTAAACAAGTACATGTTCTTCCATTGTCTCCTCTCAACCAGCAATACAACCTTCAGCCTTGCTTCAGTTAACCTCCTTTCACCTACTGGTCCTGTAAAACCAGGGTTATTGTTAAGGTGACCTGTCTCCTCATTCAGGACCCACTCAGATCTGAGTCCCCCTTGCCACACAACCAGAAAAATTTATTTTGTGTCACCTCCTCACTCAAAGATTTTGTAACTTTATTACTTTTTTTTTTAAGTGACATAATTTCCCAGGGGGGAATTGTGGGCAGGAGAATGCAGATGAAGCTGAGCTTCAGCTGGGCTTTCTCCTGCTCAGCAGCAGAGCCTTCCCTGCACCCCCCCAGGCTCACAGGTGTGTACTGGCTCAGCCAGCTGTGCACCCACAAACCCAAAACACCTTGCTTAACCTTTCCTAATAAGCATGTAATCAAATTATGGCAGCAGCTCATTATATGTGGCTGTGTGTTTTCCTGCAGTGGCTCTCTGCTAACCCAAAATCTAGTTGTAAACATGGAAGCTCCTCCAGTGTGGTGGGATACCAGCATTATTCTATAGCATATCTGTAATATCAATATTCATATAATATTAAAAATTAATGCACATGTTTCTATTAATAATTAATAATACTGCAATATTAATAAAATTAAACCAAACATTGGCACAGATCTCCTAAGTGGAGTGAATAAAGGAAAGTGTTTAAACCAGGCTCTCTCTTCCCAAACTGGGAAAGGAGGCTTTTCCCCTCTACCGAGGTGGTTTCAGGACTGCACAAGTTCTGTTCTCTTTTCTCATCTGATTTCTCCTGCCAAGAGAAATCCCCTTCCCTTCTTCCTAGGCAGGTAAGAAAGTTATTCCTGGCCTGGGGTTATTGCCAAGGTGATTCTGGAGCAAACCAAGCAGCACAGGGGACTGCAGAAAAGTTTTCATGGCAGGGTTGGCTTGAGGCTGGCCACCTTTTCCATCGGTCATCTTGAGTCATTTGCTGTCCTCCTTAAGCCAAAAGCTGACTCCAGGGAAAAGCAGAGGGGCATGCATGGCCATTTACATTTTGAAATGCTTCTTGTGGCCACTGGTTTGCCTATTATCACTCTAAAGCAAAGGTAAAAGGTTCCCTCTCAGCCCCTTCCACTGCAGAAAGAAATTAAAGGGACTTTGCCTGTGCTTGAGTGAGGAAATCTCCCCTAGGATGGGAGAAAAGATAATTGATTAGGACAGACTTTAGGAAATAATTGGGATGCAAAAGCTTAATCTTCCTTCCAAAATGATCTCTCAAATCAACTAACCTTCATTGTGAGTGTCAATTAATGAAAATTAAATTACTAAAAGGGGAATCGTAATAATTATTGCGAAGTGAACGTAGTGGGGATGTAGGACAGTGAGGTTTCGCCTTTGGCTCTCCTACATCAGCAGAGAAGGTGTGGAGAAGCCCCTCGAGGACAAGTATGGAATAAGGTCTCTCTCAAAGCTTCACCTTTCAAATGCCCTGTCCAGGAGCATCTGCAGGACATGAGAACTTCCACCTGCTCTAGATGGTGTGAACTTTGAACTCATGTAATTGGGGCTGTTCTCATTACCCAGATAAATGCTTAATCCCACAAGTTAATTGGCACAAATTACAACTACAAAGTTGCTCTGCTCTGGTCTGATGAACTCTCCTAGGAGTTCAGTTTGGCAGGTCTGAGACAGTCCTCAGATATAATTGTCCACTCATTTACAATGATATAAACCAGGGTTACTACCTTCAGTGCAGTCACTGGTGATTTATGCCAGCAGGTGATGAGGAGCAGGCCTGGTGTTTCCTACTGTGTTTTTTTGTGCAAGAGATGGGACACATCTATTTTTCTCTTTGATTTTCCCTTGAGTGTAAATTGAAGTCCATGGTATTAAGCTTATTTTATAGTGATAGACCTGGACAGAAAAGCAACTCCCAGACTCCCAGTGTGTCCTGCCTCTGCAGACTGGGACTGTGTGGGTGCACAGGGTGTTTGGGGAGTGGCAGTGGTAGGATCAGGTTTGGGGGTTGTTTTTAAGCCCAGGTTATGGAACTTTCTGCAGTGCTCACTTGTCACTGCATTGGCATGGGAATGAGCACAGGCCAATATAGAGACATTGGGGTGGGTGCCCTGGGGTTGGGCTCTCTTGAGCAATCCTGTCCCTCAAGACATTTATTTTTCTAACATGTGCAGGATCCACGAGGATCTGGCAAAATAACTAGCCCAGTTGTTCCTTGCTGTCTCCTCAGGGAGGCTGTGGGGCCCAGTGGAAGGTACCTGGTAAACTCACCGTGTTGTTTCTTCTCCTCTAAGTAATACAGGTCTTTGCCTTGATACAAGTGTGCCAACTTCTCCAATCCCCCCCCACCATCATCAGCAAAGCACTGATTGTTGAAAGATGAATGACTTCACTTTTCCAGTTCCAGCATATGTTTGCATGTCTGAGAGCAAGAAACGTGTGAATCTCACACAAACTATTGGAATTCCAGCTCTGGGGACTGACAAGTAAATATGAAGTCACACAGTATTTCATAGAAAACCCACAAATCTTATGTTTGCTGAGCTAAAGTTGATCCTTTGAGGCATGTGCCAAGAAAAACCTCTCATATTAGTTACACCAAGATTCCTCCATCGTCTAAGACTGCAGCTTGATTGAGGAGTTCATGCCTTGTAAAATCCAAGTTTCCCTAAAAGCAGCCAGAGGCACATAATCTTTTGCTAAGCTATCCGTAAGGAGCTCTGCTAGCTTGGTGAATCGAGTATGGGATAACAGATTATGCTGAATAAAAATGAAAAACCACAATGACAAAATAATGTTATAATATTAAAATAAATCAAATAATATACTGCCATTATTCTGATACAGAATTTTTACACAGCAAATTTGATACATGTACAAGAAGTCAGGCAGCCCATTACAATAAACTTCGGGGTTCCTTTTCTTTTAATATAAACTACATCTTAATACACAGTTTGAGATGATTGGGTAGTCTTACACCAATTCAAGTAACAACAACTTCTCATCTTAGAATACTAAAATAACAAAATCTTTTGATGCTTTGAATATTGGAATGCTTTGGTTCCACCTGTCACTTTTAAAAAGTGTAAAAACTACATCTATTGGTTAAACCTCTTTCCTAGAGATGCGCCTAACTTACAAATACAATAATATTAATAATATTAATAATATTAATAAAGATACAAAATGCAATGTAAATACAGTTTTTTGGCAATCCTCATATGCTTCACACTATGCACTTATTCAACTCTCAGTTCAATTCAGGTATTCCAAGATGTAAAAATCTGGCCAAAATTTTCCAAAACTGACAATAAACTTGGATGTTTTCGTTCTGGGTTTAAGCTGGAACCATGAAGACCATGAAATGGTTCAGAAATGGTTAAGCCCCTACTCTCAGACAGAAGTTTTGGTTTAGCAGACATCATTTTGCTACCCCAAAATAAAAGCATCTGCCACTGCGAGTCCCTCCTGAAAACCTTGGCCACAACAGCACAGCATCTCATCTCCTGTTGGAGTTGGTGAGGCAGGAAAGTGTGGTGAAGGGTTTCCCCATGGCAAGTACCTTGCTCATCACAATAACGAGAAAATGAGAAGAGCGAGTGGCTCGTTCTAGCCCGGAACAGCTCCTGCTAAAAGAAGACATCCTCTTTTCTGAAGTGCAGCATACATTTGAATTTGCTGGAGGAAGTCCGTCCGCAGGTGAGGCCCGGCAGGCACGGGCAGGTGTGGTGCATCCGCCGCCCCGAGAAGGGAACCTGGGCACAAAGAGCACAGACGTCAGGGACAGGGAGCACTGTGGCAGCAGTGCTTGGGGGGATGGATTCGGAGGAACAGTGGGAATACAGGGAATGCTGTCCCCCTCCCTCCCTCCACAGCCGGAGATTCCCCACGAGCTGCGGCACAGGGGTGGAGAGCAGATGGCAAAGCCAACCCTGTCATACATCCTGGTCCAGCCACAGCTAAGGGCAAAATGTTAACAGTCATGGTGCTGTGTAAATCTACATCTGTGACACATGTTCTCCATTTACTCCCATTTCATAAAGGAGTCTGTTGTGAAACGACAGTGGCCTTCAGCATCAAATTTTGTGGTGTCACTGTGCAGGGGTTTCTGTTTGTTCCGATTCCTGCCTTGTCACAGGGCACAGAGCAGGACCCAGGAACCTTGGGATCCCATGGTAGTCAGGCTGGAAGGGACCTCTGGAGGTCACCTCATCTGACCTCCCTTGGAGCAGGATCCTTTCCACCACAGGGCAGAGTTTTCTCATTTCATCCCACCCTCCTCCAGCCACGCTGTGCTGCTGGGAGCACATACGGACTGCATTAGACAAATTTAACTGTGCCATGACATGCACATGCACTGACACTCTTCAACAACTTGATCACAAGCTCTGTCTTTTACAGAAGCTGAGCAGGACAGCGCAGTGGGACGTGGCTGGGAACTGCAGTGCTGCCAGCTGGCAACACACACTGAGCATCGCCTGGGTGCAATGAAGGAAGCACAGAGGTACAAAGGCACTGCCAGACAGGCAGGCAACCCTCATTCCCTCATTTCCAGATTTCTAGGTGTTTTTAGCCTGGAATTTTAATATTCCAAGGTTGTTTTTTTGTTAGCGTGCAAATTTTCTCTTTAAAAAAGCCAAAGGGAGAAAGTCTCACACAATCCCTGCTGCATCACACCAAGAACCAGCCTGACTGCAGTGACACCCTGCCGGGTGGGAGGTGGGTGGGAGGGGGACTCACATCACCTGCAGTGTCCTGGGCCAGCACCAGACTCCTGGCCAGCACTGTCTGAAGAGCATCCTCAGCACAAGGGATGCCTTGGGCTTCCCCAAGCCACCCACCACAGCCCCTCTGCTTCAGCGTGAGCAGGGAGGTCACCAACCACAGGTGCTGAGAACTCCCCATGGCAATCAAACCTATCAGGTGCCCATGCACAGCACTGCAGCAAAACCCACATCCTGAGCTCTCAGCCTTCCAACAGCTCAGGGGATTTATTCAAAACATTACAGTTGCTGCAAGGAAACGTTCCTTTCAGTGGGACTCCCATTTTGTGCAACCTCACCTGCCTAGTTCTGCCTCAAACCCTGCCTGGTCCTGCTTCAAAATGCCATCTGGGACTGAGAAGGAAACTAGAAGGTGGAACCCCAACTGCCAGCCATCTCCTCCAGGGCATCTCCAGGCTCCTCTGGAGGTCCCTGTGGTGCCATGGCCATGCTGGTGCCTGCTTTTGACCTGTCCTGCATGCAAATGAAAGGTTTTGGTGATCAGGGCACCAGCTGCTCACTATCCAAATATTTAGGGGGGAGGAACCATTGAACAAACACTCCATCCTTAAAAATACCTCATTTTGCATACTATGGTAAATCAATTTGCTTTGTGTTTGTCAGGAAGAGCAGTGGGGTGAGGAATCTAAATCTAAAATTAACCTCATAAAGCTTACAAACATCAGTGCCTGACTAAGTCTGGGGTGGACAGGCATCTTCTCTGATTGTAATTATGCAGGCAATCACCTTAAAATATATCACAGAGTATAAATTATTGCCCAGTAGCAATAAACTCATAAAAAACCCTAGAAGACAATTTCTCTTATCCTGACTCTTAGTAGTATAAAGACCCCTTACAAGAAAAACCTGCTACATTACATGGTAAAAATGAACATATCACAGCAGAAAATTTAAAAATTTAACTGTAACAGAACAGAGCCTTGAACTTCTTAAAACTGAGAAAATAAGCCATAGATACTGAGATGAGAAGTCAGGCATTGGATGAAACAGTGAGAAAGGCAGCTAACTAGCTGAATTTATTGCCTTGGTATCTTCCTGTTGTGATGGCCAAGCTCTTCCCTGAGGATGGCTCTGAAGAACACCAGGTTCTCAAACTCCCTGGTAATATCCCATTCAGTCTTTCATATTACTTCTAAATAAACAGCTTTTTTTCATACTGCACATAATATACATAATTACACAGCCTTAAATAAACCTCCTTGTTAAAATCATTACATTAATAATTCTGTGTATCATCTAATAACGTACTAATATGTAACTAATGTTATTTATATGTGTGTATATATGTATACACACATATAGATTTGAAATTAATAGGTAGAAGAGAAGAGAGTCCATGGTGAGTGTTCTCAAGTCCAAGCATGGACTTCTCAATGGCTTCTCAATGCACCAAGTGCCCCAATACTGGCTGGTGACATTTTTATGCTTGTGATAGGATCTTGTCCACTTCCACTGGGGGCAGTGACATCTGCTACATTCCTGCTCACACGAGTAAGGATTGGCAGGGTTGGGCTTGGGAACCACTAACGCTGTTTCAGATCACGTAACGGAACAAAACAGCAACAACAAACTAATAAGGAAACAATCTGGAAAGCATGTAGTGCTTTCATCCTCTGATTCTCTCCTGCATAATTCTGACAGTAATGCACTTCCTTACGTAGGTACCTTCAGCGCTGTTTCCACACAGATGCAAATGGCTGGGAATGGTAAGGAATGGGATGTCTCCCTGCCCGTTCACCACGCACAGTTTTTATGCAGTGTGACGTGCAGTGCAGGATATTCCTGCTCCTTTCTGCCCTGCCAGCTCCAGTCCCACAGCCCCCCTGGTGACGTACTCACTCGGTGACTCAAGGGATGGCACTCCTCTCCCAAATTCCCCATGGGCGTGCACATCCGCAGGCTGCGGATCCACAGGCTGACCGCGCAGCACATCCCGCCGCCGCACTGCTGGTCTCGGTCGCAGGCCTGGAGTTCAATACAGCATTGGGCAAATTAAATTAATAATAAATGTATTCCAGAAATAGGACAGATCAGGTGCTCAGGAGCTGCCTCTGACACCCCACAAGTTACCATGGCTCATTAAGGCTGAATAATAAGGTCTACGGCTGATTCGCAGTACTTGTGTCTCCTACAGATCTGAACGTACAGGCTCCTGGAGTTGAGCCCAGGTTGTTTAAAGCCAGGACCACACATGGAGCTGCTCAGGGCCAAATCCGGGACTGTCAGTGATTGGTAGTCCCAAATTCTGAGCACTGATGGACCATGGCACATGCTGCTCGCTTTCCCAGATCAGCGCCCCAGTGAGCTCAGGCAGGAGCAAGGACCAACCACACTAAACGGTCACCAAAACAGTCACCAAAACAGTCTATGGAGAAGCTAAGACAGGAAATCAACCATTAATTTAATAACTTTTAAGTAACTACTCCTTCTAGTTTCTTATGATAATATCATAGGGTTGAGTGCCCTCGCAAGACTGCATGATAGTTTGTAAGAGAACTCCAAGTGGAAGTAACTAAAATAGAAGTTTAAATATGGATTCTGTGGTTGTTGTCTAGAATTACATGTAACTAAAAGAGGTCTTAAGAAAAAGTTTGCCGAAGTGTCCACATCCAAAAAATGCTGCTGTGGTTGCATTCCCCTCCAGGGGAGGGAAAAAATATTTTAGCCACTTACCCAATACAGCTTAGATAAGCACAAACCAAAATTCAAACTAGTGGGTATGTTTCAAGAACCACAAACCATGAAGAGCAATTGACATGTTAGGGTTTGAAAAGAAGTTACTGCACATCTTGCAGCTACTTTTTAATCAAAAGCTTATCAGGCTTTTTACTATATGAATTTAATGCAAAAACCAGTCTCCTTTCTCTGATGGGAAATGCCCTTATTTAAAGGTTCTGATTACACCCCAAATGTAAGCTTAATTAACTCACTGCTCTTGGTGTCTGATACCAGCAGTGATTGACCAAAGACACTGGTCAGCACTACGTAAACAGGCAGCTCATAAAAATGTACGTAAAAGATGATAATGGCTCTGGGGAAGACACATATCAGAATAAACATTCTCTGGAGGGACAAGCTTACAGATCTGACCTTGGGATTTACATGATAAATGCCTTTAGACTGTACTCTACTGGGTAAATATTGCACTGGTTTGACCAGCAGAAGCCAGATCAAAATATATATTTAAAGATCAGCCAGAAGCTTAGGAAGAAGCTGTTGCCTGAGGATAAATTTATTAAACAGTGTGTGTAACCCAAACAGCTCCTAAATACACAGCTCTGTGCTACAGGTGAGCCCAAACACCAGAGTATTTACTTGCAAGACTAATATGGCCATAAAACTACCACTAGAGCCTGCCAGGTAGATAATGTTCACTTTCTGACCTCTCTCTTACAAAACAAATAAATAAATAAAAAAGCACTCTAATGATCTAATTTTGCCCTAATGAGAAAAGAAGAAAATGCAGGTCCAGTGATTTTGGCTGCCCCTGGCACACTGGTGTCCACTGCTCAGCTGGAGTCACAGGCTTTGCTATTTCTCATCAGTCAGCTCCTGGCTCCCTTTTTTTCTCAGTTGTGTACCTCAAACCCCATCCATCTCCATGGGACTAGTCCTGGGGTGAAGCACCACTCAGTTGAAAAACACACCTGCATTTGTCCTAGCAAGCAAGGGTCTCAATGTCCATGCTGAACAATTTCCTTCTAAAACTCACACCCATATATATTTACATCTGGCAGAGCTTTTCAGGCTCCCTTTCCAAAAATGCATGACAAGTTTTGAAAATATTCAACCCAAACACTCCTGCCCACACCTTATCTGCAATGTGTAATTCATACTGCTTACTCCTAATCTTCCCGGGGCAACACACAAACACCCCATTTAAACAGAGTTTTGCGGAAAATCAGCCCAAGAATATTTCCCAGGTGAAATGCCAGCTGCAAAGGCAACCGGAGTCAGCACAGGAACCACCACTGAAGTGAGGAAAGTTTGAATCAAGTCCTTAAATTGCAAAGGAAAAGCACCTTGCAGGCTCAGAGGATGGGGACACAAACACCTGCGTCAGTTCTCATCTGAGATTTGCCCGTTCATCAGAAGCCAAAAATGCATCAAAGTGATTTAAGCAGAAATGCTCTGCAATAGTTAATGAAGTAACATTTCCTAGTTCTACTCTATTTTTACTTTTTGAATCTGCTTTGTCCTTGATCTATTATTCTGTGCCTCACAATTACTTTATTTGACGGATCAATTATCTTTAAAGGTGTAACCACAACTCTAATAACAGATAAACTGCTCCTCCACTGCTGGGAATATTTCTGCTTAAAAGGAACTTGAAATTATCAAATATTAAAAAATTCCTTCACATTGTCTGCTCTAAAAGATAATCAGTCCTGGTAACTGATCTGACTTCCAGAGAAATGCCCATGAGCTGTTTCAGGGACTTCAGTGGTCCGGACAGGGAGTCTGGACAGCCACGGAGAAATCAGCCGCTGCGAGTACAACTTCTGATGGTTACAAAAGATATGTAAGCTCTCGAAGGAATTCAAGTACTGGGTTATTAATCCAAAGCAAACACTTACCAAAAAAAAAAAATCATTTTACTTAAGAGTGATGCAATGCTTTGGGTTAAATAATCTCTTTGGGAAAAAAATATTTCCACAACCAAAGTAAATCTCGAGCCTAAAAACAACAACAACAACAGAGATTCATTTGCAAGGGGTGGCTATCGAGGGGAAAAAGCAGCACAGTCATACTCAAAGAAACGAAAGGAAAAAAGCAGCATTTTGTGATGATTGCAATCCTGCCCTGTATGTGGAGGGACTGGAGGAGCTGCAGGAACTCTGGGTGCACAGTGAGCAGTGCAGTGCCCCCATCCAGACTCTCCCTGGACAAGTTTGGGGATAGCTGGGGCTGGATGGAGGGTGACAAGAGACAGCTCCAGCTCTGGAAAAGCAGCTGGAATCTCTGCACGCTCCCAGACCAGCCCGGAGACAAACCCTCACTGAGTCCAGACATCCCTCACCCCAAAGGGACAGACCTCACACTGTGTCATCCCTCATCCCAGAGACCCACTAGTCCGGATATCACCCACCCCAGAGACACTGGCGTATCCTGGAATTCCTCACCCCAGAGAGACCCCCACGCTCTGATAACACTTAGTCCAGAGAGCTCCGCAGCTCCGGGCATCCCTCATCCCAGAGGGACGCCACGTCCCGATATCACTTATCCCAGACGGACCCCCAAGCCCTGGCATCTCTCATCGCCTGGCACAGCTCTTCCTCCCACGTCCTGGCTATCACTTATCCCAGAGAGACCTGCAGCTACTGGCATCCCTCACCCTCCGCGAGACCCCTCCGCCCTGACATCCCTGCTGCCGGACAGACCCCCGCGTCCCGACAGTGCTCACCCAGAAGAAAGATTATCTCCGGGCATCCTCCTGGCAGAGCGTCCCCCTCTCTCCTGGCATCCCTCATCCCAGGAAATCCCCTGCAGTCCCGCTATCACTCACCGCGCACAGACCCCGAGTCCCGTCCCCGCTGCCGTGGCGGAGCCCTCCCTCCCCCGCAGCCCCGGCCCGCCCCAGCCCTCCCGGTGCCGGTGCCGGTCCCGTCGGTGCCGTCGGTGCCGAGCGGCGGCGCTCACCCCGGTGATGACGGCGCCGTGCCCCGCGGCCACGAGCAGCACCAGCAGCGACAGCAGCGGCAGCAGCGGCGGGAGGCTCCGCATGGTGCGGTGCCGGCCCCGGCGATCCCCGCGGGCGCGGTGCGGCGCAGCGGAGCCGGGCGCGGCGGCCGCCCCGGCGTTATAAAGCCCGGGCGTGAGTCACCCCCGCCCGGCAGCGCCGCGGCCGCGGGGCGCCAGCGCACACACCGCGCCAGGTGCGGGGAGAGGGGAGAGGGGAAAGGGGAGGCACCGGCGGAGGGCAGCTCACGGCGGGGGGGACACATCCCACAGTATGTCTGGAGGACATCCCACAGCCTGTTGGGGACGTCCCAGGGCTGGCTGGGGGACATCTCACAGCAAGTCGGGGGGAACATCCCAGGGCTGGCCGGGGGACATCCCACAGCATGCTGTGGACATCCCAAAGAGGGTCTGGGGGAACATTTCAAGGCTGGAAGAAGACACCCCACAGCATTTTGGGGATGCGTTCGGGGGGCATTCCACAGCAAGTGTGGTGGGACAACCCAAGGATGGCTACGACACATCCCCCAGCAGGTCTCGGGGAACATTCTAGGGCTGCAGGGGAATGTCCCACAGCATTCTGGGGATATGTCAGGGCTGGCTCAGGGACATCCCACAGCAAGTCTGGGGGTTCATTCCAGGGCTGACTGGAGGACATTCTGTGGCAGGTACAGGGGATGTCCCACATCGGGTCTGGAGCTGACATCCCGCAGTAGGTCTAGGGGTTCATCCCAGGGCTTGCTGGAGACATCTCACAGCAGGTTGTGTGCTGCACACAGCAAGTCTGGAGGGGATCCTGAAGCAGGATGGGGGATCCCAAAGCCTGCAGTGGGGCAGTGGCTACCCACAGCCACTGGAGCCAGCCTGGGCTGGTGCTTGCATCCCCTCTGCTTGTACGTCTCAAGCTCTCCAGCCTGCAGCAGCCCCAGCCCCAGCCCCATTGTTGCCCTTGCTCCTCTCTGTGAACAGAAACCAGCTGCAGCCCCAAAATGACCTCTACTGAGCCCTGGCAGAAGTGGGCATGGCTGTAGGGGGACACACAAGCTGCACCTCTCTTTGTCTGGGGCAGAGCTTCATCAAAACAAATGTACCCCACAGTCCCAGTAAGAACTGGATCAATCCCAGTTCTTACTGGAAGCCCAGACCCCCTCTGATCTCCTGTTCTCCTGTGCTTCTCCCTCTCATGCCATAGGCAGCCCCTGCCTGTGCCTGAGCCCTCCTGACTCCCACAACACTCAGGGGCATGGGAGGAGAACAGCTCTCTCCTTCAGCAGGGCTGCTCCTCCCAAAGATCCAGGGGGAAGATGATGGGCAGGGGGGAGCAGGGACCCCTATTTCAGAGAAGTGCACCACTAGCTCCTTCCAGCAGTAATGCCAGGCCATGGCCTGATGGTTTTGGTGAGCTCCTCATTCTAGATGTACACTGCTTAAATTTAGCATAAGCCGACATTTAACCACTGATGTTGGTACCTTTGGGCACCTGAGGAGGGAGGACATCAGAGCCCAGTGCAATAAGTAAAACACGCAGAGTTTCCTTCTCTGCTTCTCTCACTGTTTTTCTTCTCTATTTTCTTTACTTTTCCAACTCTTTATACTTCTTTTAACTTTTCTTCTCCCTCCTAACTCCCTTTTTGTCCCTTTTCCTGCCTCCCTGCTCCCATTTCCATCTCTCTGGGCCCTCTGTGCTGTTCCCCTCCTCCAGTGCATCCCACTCTCACACGTAGGTCCCTGTTTTCTCAGAGTTTTCAATTTATATATATTTTTTTCCAAACAGGAAGGCCAAACCTCTGCAGAGCCCTCATTTCCCTGAGCCCTCAAACAGTCTCATTCCTCGGCTGAGGCGAGTTTGAGTGCAGCTGAAGGGGGCACATAACACACTGAGTGTCTGGGAGAGCTCCCGCTCGGTTCAGTCCCGGTCAGGAGCTGTCGAATCGATTCCTTAGTGGCATCCCCTCGGGGGGTCAGTCTGTCTGGAGGTGTTTTCATTACAAAACGTGGCCTTTTTTGGGTGCTTGCAGTTATTTCATAAAGTGCACTCAAGACAAATATGGGCTGAGTAAATAAAGCCTTACTCCAAGGATGCTTTAAAAGCAAATTGGGATAAGCCAATTTTGACGTGAAAGTATTAAAAATAACTGAGATGGATCTTTAGCTGTTGTAAATCCATGTTGCTGCCTGAAGCATCGGCAGTTTAAACCAGGTGAAGAGATTACCTTCTTTTAAATTTTTATTTGTGTCCCAGAAACTAAAAATTAATGTAAACCAGGACAATTATTTTCACAATCCCCAGGTGCCCAGAACTTTCAAAAACAAATTACCACTTTCAGTTCTAAACCTCCTGATCCCTAAAAAACACTATAGAATTAAGGAGAAATAATAGGGGGGAAGGGAAGAATTTTGTTAAGTTTTATGTAGACTCGGTCATTACTTGTAAAAGTCATTTTACATAAAAAGTAAAATGTAAAAGTAAAAGTAAAGTTCCATTTATGAAAGGTTGCCAGTCCTCAGCCTGGAAGAGCAGTATTATACATTACAATGGCTGTGATGTAAACTTGCTAGAACCCACCCTAACACCAATATTCTTACTACCAACTTGTGCTAGAAGTGGTTTACTCTTAGAAGAGACCTTACACATCTCTATGGCCTTTAGGTGATTACAAAATTGTAATGAAATATTAATTAAATCCAATTAAATTATTTCTGTCCTTAAAAAAGTCGGAGTTGAGGAGGTGACTCTCTGGATTTCAGTGTCATTAACCTCCTAGGTAATTATTAAACTACTAAAGTAGTAAAAATCCACAACATGTCTTAACTGTAAATCTTCATAGTGCCCATCTCATGAATGCACCAGAATTACAGAAGTTCTTGTATTTCTTTGATCCATTTTGAAGAGCAGCCTCATACTAGTTTTCTTCATTTGAAAAGGGGTTTTTTTTCATAGCTGGGTTTTTACTGAACAAATTGATTCTGAAACATGTAACATTTCTCTTTGTATCCTTTCAGTCTTTGCTGGTATGAGACCAAATCCACCCTGCAGCACACCTGGGGCTGTGAGGTAGAGCACAACAACTCAGTCTAGGGCAGAAGCAGCTCTCCAGCCTCTTCTTTATCACAATTAACACAGGTACCATCCCCATTCCTCCACGTAAATACTTGTCCAACTGACAATCATGATACTATCCCAGTGCAAAGCAATCTACCTCAGAAGAACCTTTTTCCTTCCATGTGGGAGCACCCATCAGTAGGATCCACTGCTTCAGAAGGGTTAGGCTTCTTCCCAAGAGGGAACCCCGAAAGTCCCGTTGTCAGATCACCTTCACAAATCCACTAAACCTGTTCCACCACAAAAAAAATCTAATATCACAATTAGGAAACATCTCCAAAGTAATCTCCAAATTAAACTCTGAATTAATCACAATATTTTAGATTTGACACAGTATGTTAATGATCATCCAAAAGTCCTCAGTTTCTTTAAGAACCTGGAGTGAAATACCTATTTTTTAGCTTTCAGTGCAGTTGGTAGATCTCTCTGGTTCTTCTCAAAGCTTCAATTTTACTGAAAGCTCTCTACGAGTAGGCATTCAAAAAATTCTGTGGCCTATTCAAGTGATAATGCACTACAGAATTTATAGAATTTTGAAGACTAAGAATGTGAATACATCAGCTATCTAAAAAGATAATTTTCTCATAAAAGAAATGAGAAAAAGCATGTAATGCAAGACAGGAAAATTATCTTTTTGTCCTGAAAACCCTCTTAATAATGACAGTATCTAATTTGTTTAATCTTTCAAACTATATATCCGACAATGGTCTGGATTCAGCAAAGTGGTGCAAGTTTGCTGACTCTTGTACAGGAAGAATGTCTTTACATCAGATGCTTATATAGATTTATTGTCTGGGTGTAGAAGTTCACCCAAAGTATGGAAGACATCAAATCAGTTGTCTTTAGTGGCTGGAATAACCTGAAGACACAAGTCACGCAAGAATATCTGAATTTCTAAGCTGTAACCTGGGTTACAGCTCTCACCCAACATTTCTGCTTTAGGTCAGTATGTAATGTTCAGTGAAGCAGAGGCTTCACAGGCGACCAGCCCAAGACCTTTCTTGATCATTTGTCCTCTCTTTTGTGGATTGTACAGGAGGCAGATGAGGCCATTTCTGCTGACATTAATTTGGGTCTCCAGCATTCATTCAACTATCATTTACCTTCTCTTGAGTTGCAAAGATTTTTGTAAATTAATTTCATGTTTTCTGTCTCTCTCTCTGATGTGGCTGGAGCTGGCCAGCGCCTGCGCAGGTTACCAGCAGCAGGCTGGCTGAGAAACAGAGGCTTCCTACCTGCAGATCTCACTGAGACTCTAAATGCCAGCTGGGATCCAAGGTGTAAAAGGCTTAGCAAGTCTGGGCACCCACTGGTGTGATCCCGGATCACACAGACAGTGGTTTGTGTAACTGCGTAACGCACAGAAAATGAAAGGCAATTCAGGCTGGTAGATGCAATTCTCACACTCGTAGTTGCCTTTGGAGGTGTCCACGAGGCTGCTGCTTGTGTGAACTTGTAGGCAAATCTGAGAGGTCAGCACGTATCTGCCCCGGGATGGGATGCAGGTGAGGAGAGCAGCAGCATCCACGCCCCTCAGGCTCAGGTCTGGCTTCTTCTGACGTCAAATAAAATAATTTTTGAAAAGTCTAAAGGGATGTGCAGATTTTAAGATTGGAAGAGGCACTACTGTCTACATTCTTACTAAATCATGCCATAAATTCCCTTAGTGAATCCTGAATATAGAGAGGTAAGGTGTGTTTTAAACTAGTCCAGATGTCAAGAGAAATCAAATATTGACTTATAACAATGAAGAATTCACCGCTTCCCTCAGCAAACTGCTCCAACTCTTAAAACCTTATTCCCTGTTTGAATTTCACTGGTCTGGACTACCAGATAATATTATGCCCTCTAACTTACAGAATTTTCACTTTCTGCATGTAATTAAAAGTTGGGAATGTTAATAAACATCTGTTTATTAACATTGAGCCCTCTTACTTTCTCACTACACAGCAACATTTTCATCACCATCAAGTGATTCTGGTAGATCATCTCCA